TTAGGAACTCCTGTGTTGGCAAAATGGCTCTTCTTTGCCTTTCTTCAATGAATCATTTTTTTATCGTCTCTTTTTAAAATTTTTCCTTTTCCTTTTCTGTTTCTTTGGAGGTGCTATTTATTTCTCTTTTTATTTTCTGGTTTGGTCTTTATTTGTGCAATTATTTTTTCCGTTCATTTCTTATTATTTTCTGAGTATAGTATTTTCAGTTTTTCAACTGTATTTCAGTTTACTTACTGTGTGTCTTTAGCTTATTTTGAAATAGTGGGTTACAGTTTAGATCTGGTTTGTGGGCACATTTTCCTGGGCACATTGTATTTAGGAATTTGCCTTTTTATTATAATATGTTAATATGAGATTTGACTGATATATTTTTTTGTTCATTTTTATATGAAGGGGGTTTTACATGAAGGTAAAATTCGGGAAATATTTTGTACCTTCACAGAGCTCATATTCATTGTTTTTTTTGGTTTTTCTCCGGTACCGGGAACTGAACTCATGACTTTGCGCTTGCCAGGCAGGCGCTTATATTCATTGTTTTTATATAGTGTTCAAGTAAATAGATACTTTGTTTTCTGTTTTGTTTTGTGGGTATCAGGAATCAACCTCAGCATCTTGTGCTTGCCCAGCAGGCACTGTACCACTGAGCTATATATCCCCAGTCCCTTATGTAGTGTTCAAATGATGGTAACATACTACCTCAGATTTCTTGGGTCTTTTTTCTCCTAGTTTGGACTAGATCTTCCCTTCTGCTGTCCTACACTACTCAGCTGTGATTCTATTCCAGCAGTTTCTGCTCATTGTGGGCCTCAGGGTTCTAGAGGAGAGAACCCTGATGTTTTAAAAAACTTACAGGAACTAAATTGCTTTAACCTTTTTAGACCTTCTCATCATGAACCCTTTGTCTTATCTGGTATTAAAGATACCAGAAACCCTGAAGTTTCAGTTCTTTTGTGTTTTTGTTCTTTCAAATTGGCCTACTTTGCTTTCCAGTGAATATTACCCTTTAACTGTTTTCGTGTCCTTTTTTTGTATTGGGGCTTAAAACCAGGTCCTCATACATGTTAGGAAAGCTCTCTAGCATTCAGCTATTATAGCAGCCCTGCTACTTTGTTCTTAAGCCCACCGTTTTTCTCTTCCTGCCAAGTTGTGCTTACTGAGTGTTTGCGATGTGTCTCTAACATTTGTGTTTTGGGTTTTGAGGGGGATATCCTGTCACATAGTTTTGTTGTATTGCATGTGGGATTGGTTTTGCTATCCAGTTGCTTTTTGAGTTTTTATGTGTGGATTTGAAAAGATTAAGATATGTACAGCCGCTACCATCTTCCCAGAAATCTTCCCATTAGTTTTGATGTCACCTGTGTATGCCCCTCCTGTTCCTTTTATTCCTTGTTCAGAGGTAACCATTATCTTAATTCTGTGCTTCTCATTTTTTTGCTTTTCCATGTAGTTTTAGTCTATGTTTATGTCTCTGAACAGTTTAGCTTTATAAATGAAATCATGTTTTCCTGTGACTTGTGTTTTGTTCAACTTCTGTTCCTTTGATTCATTCTTATTGTGTATGGTTATAATTTATGAATTTTTATCCCTGTGTAGCATAACAGAATTAATATGTCATAGTTAATTCATTTTTCTATTGACAGAGTTGTTTGTTGTTTTTCCTTGTCAAACACTATTTCTAAGAAATTTTCTATATATTTACTGGTATACATCAGTAAGATGTTCTCTTGGCATATCCATAAGAGTAGAGTTACTGAATTATAGGGAAAATGATCCTTAAACTGTATTATTTAGATAGTAGCAATCATTTCCCAGAGTGGTTGTACTAATTTCCATCCCCATTGCATTGTACCCAATTTATATATTTCCCATCCTAAGGTTTGTGTTTATGTTACCTTCTAGAAAAATTGCTGTCACATATATGAATAAACAGATTTTTAGTTTTATTTGTTTTGGACCCATTTAATTAATCTTTGTGGTACTGGTTATTAAACCTAGGGTCTTGTACATAGCACTGAGCAACACCTCCAGCCCTCTGGCCCTATTTTCAAATGGGGAATCGTATCATCTGTAGTTTTCTGGGACTTATTTTGACTTGACATGTTAATAAGATTCCTGTGTGTGTGTTTTTGTATGTAGCTAGTCATTCCTTTGCTATTACTGTATAGCCCATTGTATTGCTATCTATATTCCTTTTTTGATAGGCGTTGTTGGTTTGTTAGGCATTATAAGACAACAATGGGAACAATCACTTATGTAGCATTTACTGTCCTAGACACTTTCCTGAGTGCTTTATATTTATTATTTCACTTAAACCTCATGTGAACCCTGTCAGGTACTGTTTATCCTTAGCTGGTAATGGAGCCAAGGTATGGATGGGTTAACTTGCCCAAGGTATCGCAGATACAGTATTGAGTAGTTGGAGCTAGGTTTGAAAGCTAGGGTATCTCATTCTTTAGTTTATGGCTATGTAGTATATTTCTCAGGATTCCAGAAGTAGGGACATTGTTCTCACAGATCCTTAACTACGAAGAAATGATGCTGGCCTAAAGACATAGTATACTATTTTCTTTTTTAAAGTTTTAATATTTAGAATGACTTTATAATACTTGTTTCATTTGAATTTAGTTTGAGACTTAGAATGCTGTTTGGAATGTACTTTACCTACTTGTAAGCAAGGTAGGGTACTGTGCTACCTACTTGTAGCACGGTATCCTCACAGTGCTCACAGCGGCAGTTAGCGCCATCTACTGGCAAAGACAGCAATAACTTGGTTATGTCATAATACATATTTATTGCTTGGAAGACGGTACACACTTTCATAGGATTTTTTTGAAAAGCAGTTTCTGAGGGAAATGAATATTTTACATTTTTCGTGTGTACTAGTTTTTGTGTCCCATTATAATTTCCTTGAACTTCCAGTATGTATTGTATATTTACATAACTGAGATTACATATAGGTGAGAAAAAAACCAAGAAGAGATAGTTTTGTGGGTGTCATTCTGTTTTTTTCAGAGCATATGCACAAAATTGTTAATATGTTCGAGTAGTAAGAACAAGAGCAAACCTGTCATATTTAGCTTATTCTGTTTTGGCATAGTTAAGTGGTATGTAATATCTTTGTTATAGGAGTGGAATTGATAGTAGAGTGAAAATAGTTCTTGGTGATTAACACTGGTGTATTAGTCACATCCTGTCACTGGGACAAAATACCCATCACCCACAACGTAGTTTGGCTCAGGGTTTACGAGATTTGCGCCATGGTCATCTGGCTCCAACATGGAAACCTCAGGGTGGAAGGGCATGGGAGAAGAATGCTGCTCACCTCGTGGAAACCAGGAAACAAAAAGAGGAGCTGCGGAGGGAAATGTACCCTCCAAAGCTGTATCCCTGGCGACACATCTCTTCCAAATAGGCCCCGCCTTTTCATAGCACTTCTAGCTATGAACTCTTCAGTGGGTCAGTCCTCAGATGAGGTGTAGCGCACCTATGGTCCACATGCCTTCCAAAAACCTTACCTCTGACCACGTGAGATTTTCTGGGGGACGTTCTAGATCTAAATCTGGAAAACTTCCCTTTGGTCAACTCTTGGTATTAATCTAAACTTGACTTTTATCTTTCTTGAACTGGTTTAGCTTTCGCTTGCTGGTGGCCTAGGATCTTGCTTATGTCCTATTTTAGATGGATTTTTGTTATTTGTCACCTTTTTTCTCTCTGTTAACCTAATCTACGTGACTTAAAAGTGTGTAAAAAAATCCATTATTGTCTTCTCATTTATTCTCTTTTTCCTGGTATACTTTGTTTAGGTACTTTATAAGTAAGGTATCTTAGATGTTACAAATTTAATTAGAGGCAAGTTTCAATCTTTTGAGAAGGACTGTAGTGATTACTTAATGAGTGTTGGTTGAATGATTCATTAAAGGAATTTTAAAAATCTAATTTATGTGATAGAACAGCAGTGGTGGTTTGGACAGACATTGGTCTGGTATGTTTACTTGTAAGTCTGTGAGCACAATAAATAGCTGTTCTTTTGCTCTGTGGCTGACTATTTAGCACACAAACGAAAACAGTTTTTATTATTAGCTTATTGTGCATATACTTTGGAACTTCTTGATTAAATAAATACTTATTGATTCAAAAATAGTGATAATTACAAATTTTAGACCATATGCCCAAATATTATATAGTTTAATGTAAAACATCCAAAATTGCTGTCTTATAGTGTGAGTTTTTAAAGCATGTTTAAGATACATGTAGTGTCGGGAATAAAAGTGGGGTAGTGGTGATTTTTGTTGTTCTGTTTGTGTATTTTACTTTTGAGCATTAATTATTGCTAAAGTGAAACCAAATCCTCTTTTCTTCATCTAATCTACTGTAGCTACCAAAATAT